AGAGTCATTAGGAGTTACACTACCCCGTCATAGTTTTTATTTTTTTGTTCTAAAACCCAGAACTTTGCACTGTTACATACTTTGTTTCATGTTAACGACCTATGTAGGGAATGATACTACGGGTTTGTGCTAGCTCATATTATGAATGAATAAAATACTTGAAAAATCCCAAGCAGTCGCCTTTTTTGTCTCTGTCGCTCTCTTTGTTGATTAGCAGCCTCTCTATCCTCGTCCTTGTGGACTTATTTTAGCTGAAAAGGGAAGAACCTCTTAAAGGACTGGACACAAATTTCCATTTTTTTAATAAAAAAAAAGAGATGTCAAGGCCAAACTTGAGTTTTCAAACATCTGTTTCAGAGTTTGGGTTTGGTTTGAGCATTTGAAAGGTTGGTACCTGTTGTTTTTGTTTATCCTGATAACTTGTTTTGTTATGACCTTTCATAACCACAATAAGAAGCAACAGAAACGTTCTTTCGTCATAATATGCTTCAATTTTGAAAGATGAAAAGATTTTAAGTTTATTTCAACACGAATGCTTGTAAGTTCGTTGTGTGTTTGTGTGAGATTTTCACGCTTGCCTTTGATGATAACCTCGCAAAAGTAAGAGGTTAAGAAGTTCAGTGAATAAGATGTTTTGTTTGTATGTAGCAGCGTAAAAAGTCACGCTTTATCCTTTAGCAGACTGTATGCCTTTATCGTTCTCAAGGAGATGTAACATAATGCTTCATGATTTATCTCTTTTCTAGAGGACTTTGTCAATGCATCTACGAAGTGAGAATACTGCAACATGAAGCTGAGCTGACTGATTGCTAGAGAAATCAACACACACATTAAAAACAGTAGTGTTGCAAGAGGCCATGCAATGTCATCTGAAAGAATACAATTCCCTACTGAGTTGCCGTCTTCTGATTCTACTTGTCATGTAGACGATGTATGTTCAACTTCAAGTCCTGCCCGCCAAATTTCATCAATGGTACGGGAAGGCAAAGATGAATTTTAATCAATTTTGTTAATCAATCTTGTTAATATCATAACCTACATATTTGTGCACTTACAATTATAATTATTGTCAATTTGCTTTTTAGGTGTCTGGTCTTAATGAGCAGGAGTTTTCTTCTGCATTGTTTCATAAGGGTAATGATGATACTCAGCCAAGATCAAGGAGAAAGAAACGACCGTTTTCACCAGAACCTATTGGAAACCCCAAAAGAAACATCAAAATTAAAGCAAAACTTAAAGGACCAACTAGAATTTCGAAGAGCTCAAATAACGATTCGCAACCTAAATCATTTTCGTGTGACAAATGTGGTGCCTTGAGTGTTGTTAACCCATCTCGCAGTAGAATGCCTCAGAATCAAATCAAAAAGATTCAGACACCACGAAAAAAAGTTGACCCAGTGACAAACAGAATATTGAATCTTTGTAATGCTTGTGGGCTCGCGTTTTCTCGTCCTCCAAGGCTAGAGAAACCAGTAAGTTATAGTCAAAATATATTCATATTTTTCTGTCCCATCTATGTTGTATTATATGCCAAAAATGATTAACAATTTAAATTACAGAGTTCTATTTCAATTGAAGACCGAGATGGGTACCTTGCTGAAGCTCATGCATTTGCAAAATCCATCGCTCAAAGAGTTGGAAGGCCAGCTTTTGAAAGACTGTTCTGTCCTACTTTTAAGAACAGACCTTGTGGGTGCATACAGACATTCATATCCCATCAAGGTAAGACAGTTAAATTTCATTTATTATTTGCTTTTGATATTGAATAGTTGGCTGTATTTGACTTTCTATTTCTATCTTCAGGGGATGATGTTGAAAGTACATTAGAAAATAGAGTTGAAAGTTTATTACAACTTTTCAACACTGCCTGTGACCTGAATCGTAGAAAAAATTTATTTCCCGAATACCAAGTGAGCACAGCTGTATTTGGTCATTCACCCTATCGATACCTCAGAGCGAGAACCGCTCAGTCTCTGCAGGAAAGCCTATTATACTGAGCGGTTCTCGCTCTGAGGTATCGCTATCAGGTACACCAAAACTGTTAATACTAAGATCAAAAGTATATTTTTTTCCAGTTGTCAGAGCAGAAGAGTAAAGAAAAGAGTCTTTCAAATTCTACAGAGTGCAAACAACGTCAGAAAGATTATGAACATTTTGTCCTAAACACCAGACAGTTACTTCGTGAAAAATTGCACTTATGTGAAAGAGCATGTCAGCGAATTCTGTTGTATTCGAATAATTTTCTTCACAAAAGATTAAAATCAACTCCAGATCAGTTAGTACTCTGCATTTTTAATTTTTGTGCACTGTATCATTATTTTCGTTTATTGTATTTTTCAACCTTCATTAGGGGCTCGCGTATATCCAAACAGACTGGTCGCAGTTGTACAAGTCAGCTAACATCAATACAAGAGTTAGGGACAAAGTCCTGTTGTTTGGATAACTGTTCCCGCCTGGCACTTACTCATTCAGCCCTATTAGAGGACTGGAGAAAGCAGGCTTCCTTAGGTCAGCGGCAAGCCAGGCGAGTTCTAGCAGAAATGCTAACTCCCTCTGGAGGAACAAAATCTAATTGTTATAAATTTATCACAATGGTCACTGGTAAGTGCTATTTAATGATCTATCTTATTACTCTTTGTCTGTTTATCTTATTACTATTTGATTCACAAGCTGTCATATCACTTTTGTGAATTACCTCCAGGTTGTGGACCAACCACTATCAGCTCTGTTAGTCATCAAATGCGTATCACCAAGGGCAACAGAGACCCACCTGAACATGGTCTGAGAAAGTGGTATAGAGAAAATCCACGTAAACTAAACAAGCCCTCCACTCACATACTCAACTCCAGTCTTGAGCAATCTGATGAAACTTGTCATATGTCTTCAATGTTACAAATCCCTTTGGAAGCAACAGATCAACCTCATGTAGAAGATTCAAAAAAACAGGTTGGCTTTTCAAAGAGGATACATTTACTGTATCAGTTTGAATCTAATATTCTCTGTACTATGCAAACAGTTACAGGGTTGCCACAAGAATGGGAAATTGAAATTCCCTCACATTTCCCTGTATTTCCCTGACAATTTCCTTCAACATCTCTGTGAGCAGGTCAAGATAAGCAGTCAGAATGCTGTAAACAAGGAGGGAGTTTTGCTAACACCTTGCAGAGTACTCAAAATAACGTTGCCGGCCGTTTTTTCCTGACATTTCCCTGACTTCCCTGACTTGTAGCAACCCTGAACAGAAATGTTTTGGTCATCTTCTAACTATTGAAATTTTCTGTTTCAGCTAGAGCAGCAGAAACTAGAGCTTGAAGAAGCTAAGCGTCAATTATACTTGAAGCAGCAGGAGCTTGAGCGCTGCCAGCAAATTATTGATCAACATATTCGCCTCGGAGCACCACCTGCTAATACTCGCAACAGTGATCCTCTTTGGAAGGTAGTTAAATTATTATCTTGAAGGAATCTGTTTCTTGGAATAATATATTTGCTAATTTTTGTGGAGTCAAATTTTTAAATGTTTATATTTTTGCAGATTAATATGTTAAAACATTCAGAGAAGGGAGCAGATATGGACACTCATTTGCTTAATCTTCCAGCTGAATCAAATATGACAATGATGTCAGAACTATCTAATGGGCAAACCGTCCAACTTATAGATTTGGTACCTGGAACATATATTGCAGTCCCTTCAGAGTTTGACAGTTCAACCATTCTTACAATGTCATCTGAACCCAATGAAGGAGCGCCTACAACCGTTTCTTTATCTACTAATGCTCGAGATCAGCAGGAAATAATTGTGCCACATTGTTTAAATTCCCTTGAACCTTTCCACAAAACCAACTCAAATGTAGTTTACTCAGATGATTTACAGTCACTTTCAAACTCCACCCAAACTAATCAGTTTATAATTCAGTCTGAAAATGGTGTCCAAACCATCTTCAACATCTCGTCATCTACAGAGGCAGTTGGAACAATAGGAACAATACTGAAAGAGGCAGATTGTCAAATTCAACCTATAGAAAACTGTAACTCTGAAGGATTTGTGTCAGCACCAACAGGTTGTTCAGGTATTTTTTTTTTTTTTAAACATACATAATTTGATTTAGATGTATAGTTTGATTCACACATGTCACATATTCTTTGCAGATATGTTTTCCAGCTCTAATGGAAATTTGACAAGTAGTGGCCCATCTGGTTTTCCGCAAATAACCATTGATACAAATTCAGCATTGCATGGTGTGAACCCGACAGATGCAAGTCATCCGACATCATGTCCAACATCTGTCATTACATTATCTGGAAATTGTGATGCAGCAAAGTTAGCATTACATAATTCAACTGTTCTTCCTCCAGCAGTCTGCCCCTCAATGTATAAAACAGTAAAAGGCGGAAGCATAGAGGTCTTTGACACGGCCAACTCCTTGAACAGTGTTATTTTATTATCATCAGAACAATCACAGTCAACAACTAATTCCTTAAATTCCTTTGAACGTCTATTTGAATGAAGGATTCTCCAAAAAGTGTGTAGGTTTATGTGGATGATAATAAAATTATAATCCCTTGGCATTTTTCAATTTATTTTACAAATTTATCTATTACATTTCTCTTAATTCTATGAGCCAAATTTCTGTGACAATGTTTCCAGCTGTCAGTTGAAAGTAAAGAGAATAAGCATGCCTATCATATAATGCATGTCTAATAATTGAGTAAGATAACTGGATACATGAGAGCAGTCACTTCACCACAATATATCACTAGTGGGGAGAAATAAAGAATTAGGGATTAAAAGGGAAACAAATATTACTAGTGTAGAAGAAACACACATTAGGTATACAACTGCCTAACAAAGCAACGCTTCATCTGCTCGCAATAAATTGAAATTGCACATCCAAAAGGAATGCAATACACATTTCCTTACAACAAATTAAACAACCATAAGAGAGTTAAATGGTTTATAGACCTCTAACCTGTACATAACACCAACATTACAGAAATTCATAAAGAAAACTATTAAAGCAGGACAACAAACAACAGATTTAAAAAGAGAAAGACCTCTAGTTGTTCAAATCTCTCTTGACCATCTGAAGTATTCAATGTAACCCATCCTGTATCACACCCATGGCAAAAACACACAGGTTTTCCATACTTCAAAATTCAAGCAACTTCAAACTACTATTTGATTATAGAATAACCTATTACAAGAAATTCATACTGATTGTAGGATTCTCTATTACAAGCCGATGAAAGTGGTGAAGACGACTGCCATTAATGTAATTGGCCCAGGGCCATAGGCACTGACTGTAGCATCAAAGTTTTTGAACAATACACTGGACTCTGCACTAATTAATTGAAAAGAGAAGTCTTGCATCCAGCAAGGGGTTTAGCAAAATTAGCTAAAATGGCCAAAAATGATACATTTTGGCAAGTGTTTATTAATTGGTCTGAGTCTACATTGTCTGCTGGTTAAGATCAATTTGGGGTCAAATTTCTGAGGAAAGAATGACATCACTCAGTACTTGATTCTTCATGCAACTAATTCTTTGATATTTGATAAAAGGTTTAAAGTTACTACCTTGATAATATTTGATGTACAGTACGGTTTATAACCTATGAAAACTCACTTCATAACCAGAAATTATCTCCAAGTATCACATATTCACAAAATAAAAACAATCTCACGGCAATAAATCTACAAGGAATTGATGTTTCTTTCATATTGCATTGTAGGTAACCATCTATACTGTAGGATATTTAGAAGACATCACAGCACAGCAGAGCTATAGAAGCTTGCGGGTCTTCATAATATAATACATGGCCTCTCACTAATACAATAAATTTGCAAGAGATATATACAAACAAAGTAAAGATCATAAATGTACTATAGCATTGTGTTCAATAGCTGATAGTTCTGAACAAAAGAGCAGTACTATCAGTTCTGATTATTGAATTTGGAAAAGTAAAACAATATATAGCTTTAAAAACCACCTATAATCATATACACCTACTGAAGGACGTACAGGAAGCAAGTAAACACGTTAGCAGTAACATAAGAATCTGGTAAAATATAAAAATCACTTAGTCCAGCAAAATAGGTGAGTGACAAAAGAAACTTTGGTGAAGGAACTTTTGGTTTGAAGCAATCTAACTATTTTAGAAAGCAATAAAAAATTACTTTTAATCTGATACCTGTTTCTGGTCTGAGAAAGTAATAAGTGACATGGACTACTTTCCAAGTCAAAATCTGTGACTAAAAAGGAAAAATATCACTGTGCACAAAGCACTACTTCAGAGAGTAAATTTCCATTTTCCACACTAAAATTATTGATTAAAAAAAATGTAAATAATGTGTACAAAATATCTCTTCCCTGGTCACCGACTCTTTACTGTGCTGGAGTAACACAGGCACACCTTCAGTTGAGGACAACACCTCATTATGTTCATAGGTTATTCTGTAGGATTGACAAATTAAGCCCTGAAAGATCAAATCAAAAATTGGATAAATGTGATAAGTGAGAAAGAATGAAGTGAGTTAATTTATCCAACTCACGTAATATGTTAACAGCCACAGCTATCTCCTCTTGGCGCACGTTGATTGGGGTCCAATTTAATTTGGTCAGGAAATTCAGGATACAATTCAACTTCAGACTCCTGCTCCAATGCATTCTTGGCAATAGTCTGGAATGCTTGTTCAACATTCAGAGCCTCCTTCGCACTAGTCTCAAAGTAGGGAATGTTGTTTTTGCTCTGACACCACTGTTGGGCCCTTTTGCTAGATACCTAAAGAAAAAATTGTCTTAAAACAAATCCAAATTTTAAAACAAAATCTTTGATAAGCCACAGGTACATACCAATCTATTTTCCATGTCACATTTGTTACCCAGAACAACAAATGGGAAATTTTCAGGATCCCTGGGAGAAGCTTGAATAAGGAATTCATCTCTCCAGCTGTCCAGAGATTTAAAGGTATTTGGAGCAGTGACATCAAAAACTAACACACAGCAATCTGCTCCTCTGTAGAATGCCACACCCAACGATTGAAATCTCTCCTGCCCAGCAGTGTCCCAAATCTGCAAAGAAACATTTGAAGGTTGGGGACACAATTTGACATTACTTAATTTCCTTTCCCTCCTCCTATTGATTCAGATTTTACCTGCATGGTAACAACCCTGTCATCCACCATGACTTCCTTTGTCAAAAAGTCTGCGCCGATCGTAGCCTTATATTGGTTTGAGAATTTCTTGTTAACATACTGGTTCATCAGAGATGTTTTACCAACACCAGAGTTGCCAAGGATGATAACTTTCAGAAGAACCTTTTTCCTTGAAGCCATCTTGATTGAAAATCTATGAAAGAACAAAATAAATACCCATTAAGTAAAAAGTTGTATTTACAATAGTTCACTAAATGTAGTAAGAAAAAAAAAAAAAAAAATGTGAACAACCAAAGAAATACATTTTGTGAAACAATGGGACTGTCAAAAGAGATGACAAGAAACTATGTTTAAATTCAGTATTAAGAATCAATGAAAATCAGCCCAGACTCCCACGAATGGCAACAGACAATAGACTGCCACTCACCTTCGATAAACAAAGCACAAAGGGTCTCGTATAGGTTAGCAGACGCAAACAGACCGCCAAATGACAGAGCAGTAGATTACGATTGATATGAGGGCTTGGTTAAGCGCCATAGAGCGAACAAGTCCCGCATAAATTAATAAGGGACAAATTGCGTCTTTATTTACGGCCGTTACGGAAGGCGGAAGTCAAAACATACAGCAATCATATGTGTGTGTGTACACACACACACACACAAACGCACAATTACTTGCTACGTACTACTTCCACAACTTGCGGCCCTGTTCAGAAATCCGAGTACACTTTACACCAATCGCACCTCAGAATGAAACCTTGGCAACTGCAAAGTTGTGCGCGTTCTGCTCACGGGGGTAGCGAAAACAAAGTCTTGTAAGCCTAGCCTATACCCAGTCCTCTATGATCCCATCCACTTGACAACAACGTAAATCCGTTGCTACCACAAGTTTACAATTTCTAGAGAAGTCCATTTGTGGATTTCTCTGTAACCGTATGACCATACCTTAGTTACTGCAAGATCACGGAAGAAACGTCAGAAGAACAGAAGTTTTTCTTTTGAAATAAGCGCAGCTTCGTTGGACTACTCAAAGTGCTTTGCAGCCTTCTTTTTGAGTCATCACGAGCGAGCAAGATTCCTTTCGTCATCAGGTACACCACGTCTGTGGACTGGGGACGTTGTTGATTTTGCGGCCAGGATAGAGAGTCATGAGTCAAATTCTTCATGTTTACGATGGCCACAATGCGAAAAATTGCAGCGAATCCCGTCCTAATAGACATTCAATTTTAAATTTAAAAGATATTTTGCACAAAACCCGAGAGATTTCATAAAATAATGTTTTGTTTGCGACACCGTGCGGCGCATATGTGGTAGACATGTAGCCTCAAGCGGGAAATTCAAATTCAAAGTGAACCAACGTCGGGTAGAAGAGGCCTGAAAAACCTCGCTCGTATCGTATCCCATTACTAATGGTGCCCCCACAATGCGATGAGCCACGAGCCATGCGCCATGCGCCGTGCGCCTTTCCGTAGCAGCGTATTTCAGCTATTTTATAACACAAAAATCGGTGAACGTCGGGTGCTAGAATCTGCTGGAGGATCTGGAGTCACATGGTGCATGGGTCGGGCGGGGGCACGGCTTTGTGGGGGCACATTAATTGGGGATTTTAGATGAGCACGATTTGTTTATTACGAGTTATTTTGATACCCATGCAGATCCATTTATGATAGTTGCACTGCGGGTAAATAATAGAGACAACGGACTTCAGACCAGGAGCAGGCACATCACAGGCAACCGCAGAACGAGGAATACACGTGCAACACCCGAAGAATAAAGTGAAATTGAAATCGTGCTGGGAATAGCAGCTGCTTGCGGAGGCGGGCATTCCCCACCCAGTCTCATCCTGCGCTTTAAGAGGGGGGGGGGGGGTTGCTGCGTGTGACAGCACAAACGGAGAAGTCGGGGTAAGGGGGAAAGGGGGGGGGGGCACGAGCCGTACATGTGGAAGGAGTAGAGAAAGAACTCTTGCTTGCGTCTCGATACTGCTTTAGTGTTCCACTATATAGGCACTGATTCCAGGAACTTCAGAATATTTGGACCACGCGATTCCCTTCCGAGAATGCTTGCGACGCGAGTCATAACGTATCTATGACTCCGGACTATTCTTTGCAACCTCCCCAAATCTTCGTGTGCGGTTAAAGAGCCTCAGGGGCTTTTTTTAGGTGCAGAGTGGTGCGATAAGGTCACGTGGGGGCAAACGTTCTTTTTTTTCTTTCAGTGTTTGAAATGGTTTTATTGAAGTCAAATTCAGTTACATTTGGATTTTACATAGGTTGGTGTGCTGTTGCCCGTATAGCCCTTACAGTATTTACTTGTATTAATAATTACCGGGTGAAAAGGTATGCGGCCGACCGGGCGCCTGGAGGATAGGCAGCCCCTCGAGCGGGCGAGCGCGAAGGGCGGCGGCGGCGGGCTCATCGCCTGCTGGCCAGAGTCCTGCTGGCCTGGCCAGAGTCCTGCTGGACCAGCGCAGCAGATTGTAGGCAGCCACTACGTGATTGATCACGGGCGGCGGGGGCGGCGGGGGCGGCGGGAACAACGCGTCTCACCGTCACCATCAATTACCGCCCGAGAGCAGGGCCCTTGCTCGGCCGGGCCGCGGATTTTTTCGGAGGGGCCGATATCTGCGCGCCTTGCTTGGTGGCACCGCTATCGCTATAGCGTGCGACCTGATTGAAGTTGTAGGTGAGTTCTGAGAACTCCTATGATCATAGGAATTGTGTGCTCTTCAACGCGCAGTCCAGATAAGGCACTTCGACACAAGCAAGCTGGTGTCCCCATAATCCGAAGACATGCATCCACTGAAAATGCTAGAGTCTTACTCTCAGGAGAGCGAGATGGTGACCCCAAAAATCTTTCTCTCCTGAGAGCGAGATATCTGACTCTCACTCAATTTGAGCCATAATTTGCAGGTCCTCACCCTATCAGAGTGATGTTCCTCACTGCAATTGGGCGAGGTCAGGGAAATCTTACTCCTTCAGAGTAAGAATTCGGTGCATATGACTCAAATAGGGTAAGCCCTATAGTCATCGTTCTGATTGAGCGAGGCAAAATTGTCTCACTCATTTCGAGAAAGGCACCTCACTCAAAGGTTTTCAGTGTCGTAGCGGTACACTTAGAAATGTAGGCCACGCTGGATCTAAAGTTGAATGTTGGAAGTTGCATTTTTGTGTGTCTATTTTTGATTTGGGGTAATCAGCAAGATCTTTAAATCTTGGCAAATCTGTCGAACACTCTAAAAAAGGGACGTTAGAGTCCCCCAAAACTTCCGTTTTTCATTCTTTTCGTTTTTGCAGCGCCGCGCCCGGGACAGTTCAGAGTCAGTAATCTGGAAAGCCACCTGGCGAAATGGCCTCGCGGAGCTCAGTGTCAACCCACATGACCTCCCCACCCACCACCACCACTCTCCTCCTCCTCCCCATCCTGTTTGGGGGTGGGTTGGGGATTTGGGCGTGGAGGGGGGGCGGGGAGATTTACGCACAACGAGTCCCCGCGATGCGCGCGACGCGTGCGTCACGCCACGAGGACGTGAGCTGAATGCGGAACCCGGTATGACAGCCCCACCCCTTAACCCTTTCGCCCTTTCGTTTTAACTCAATAATTAGCGTGACACTGTTGAAAAAGAGAAAAGAATAAAAATGAAATAACAGAAGTTCTTTCCGCTGCTTCCGTTTCGCACACGGGTAAGTGAACAGGAGAGTTGGTTTGCCCCCCTCCCCCTCCAGGACTGGGCAACACTTGGCTGAGTGCATTTTGATACTGGTAGAGAGATTTCCAAGAAAAGTATTAAGGAAGTTTTTCAAAAATGTCTGAATTTGTTTTCAGATTAATTTTTTCCAACTTTTTTTATGGCTTTTATTCCTGACAATTTCCGGACTTAAAAATCCCTACTTGTAGACTTGGGGCTTGGGCTGTGTCCGGCCGGCATACTGGAGCATCATTGGGGATGGGGAATGGGGACCAAAGGGGACTCGCCCCGCCGTCGAGATTTGCCGCGCGCGGCACATCGAGACACATCGCACCGGCGGCGGGCGGTGGGGGGAAGGCCCACACGCGCCACAATATACGACCCTGTAAAATACGCTTCTTTTTAGGAGGACCATAAAGATGTTGGTGTCATAATACGCGAGACGCATGCGTGTGTGAGTGTTCGGAGAGCCCGGCGGCGGGCGGGAAAGGTAGAAGAAAAAGGGGGGGGGGCGGAGGCGGGCGGCGTGAGTGCCGCCGCCGATGGCACCGTTCGTGCGGTTTCGAGTTGGAGCGGTTGGAGCGCATTCAAATTCGTGTGAACAGCCCAGCCCGACTGCGCGCCGCGCTGAGCTGAGGTGGGCCGTGCAGGGCGTCGCCCCCTGGGCGCTCCCCTGCGGCGGGGCCCAGCGGCCCGGCGGGCTGCCTATAGCGACCCTCCAGGGAGCGGCTGGACGTGGCCGACGAACCCTGCGCCGACTGCGCGTCGACCACATGGCTCAATCTTTACTACTACTACGCCCAGCCGGTGCGCGGCATCGCACCCGTTACCACCGAGGTTGACCCTCGCATCGAGGAGTGCGGCTCACCCGAGGGGTCGTCAACTCTCCTTGGCCGTGTACGGAGGAATATTGAATATTACAAATAATATTAGTAATATTGAGCCAATTTTCAAGCTGTGACGTCATAATACTAGAAAAATGTGTAATATCGAGGTAATATTACCAGTAATATGGCTAATATTGGTGTAATATTTGAGGTAATATCAGTTCGTGTACGGAGGAATATCGAAGTTGACGACCCCTCGGGCTCACCGCGTGCTTCTGGCCATCGGTCGTGAGGAAGTGCCAGTGGTGTGAGCAAAAGAATATTGTAATCTTGATGTACGTTTTCCTTGGCATGATGTGCTGTATGAGATGACAAGATGACCAAACCGACCAGTCTATTGTAACGGGGTGTTGACACTTGGCCTGCAAGACTGAAAAATAAACCAATTCTAAACTCACTCCTAAGATGGGGGTTGGGAGAAATCAAAAGTGGGCAGGGAAGAAAGGAGGGTGTAAACCGGCGGGGTTTGACCCGCCTCTCTCCGCGTATTTCTATTTTGCAGAGCAGGTCGACCACTAGTCAACCATGGGGTGCTGCTGCACGGCGGTGCCGGCGGTGCAAGCGCAAACACCATACGAATACAAACACACAAACGTGTGCTGCACTCGGCAGTGCAGAAAGAGGGGGGAGGGGGGCAATCCACGGGGCGTGTTTGTCTGTGTTGGGCGGCGTAGCGCCGCACCAGGCAAGCGAGCGAGCTAATTATTCTCTCACGCAAAGCCATTCGTATTCGAGACTGTTTTTAGTGTTATTGTCAGGGTCGGGAGAAGCGGATGAGAGCCAGCCGCGATCTTCGCTGCACCCCGCGGTCTGGAGCCGCGGGGTTGGGGTGGGCAATTGGGATTGTTACCTGTCCTGGACCCGCGGTATCATAGAGATCAGCAGAAGCGTTGGCTTCTCGTACCCTTAACTTGAGAGTCCACATCCCCCATGTGGCGTGGTGGAACGTTGTTGTTGGTCGTCAAACGAAAGCCCCCGCACTAGGGCGCTCTGGGCGGGCCGCCGTCTTCACACAGCTGCCTGCCGGGCTTGCCTACCCAGGCGTCGCCTCCGACTCGTCCCGTGAGCCGGAGTAATGCACCAGGAAGTGCCCACTAAAATCTTATGAATATTTTTATTCATAGCTTACTGAGTTTTGTGATTTTTTTTTCTGAAATTTGTTCATACTGGCGTATTAAAAATGCGTAAGCAGAGCACGTACACAGAGCAAGTATACACAGAACTCAGTAAACTACGAATAAAAATGTTCAGAAGCTTTAAGTGTTTTTTTTTTTTTTTTCATGTTGAGTCTACTTAATAATTTTTATTTCGCACAACTCGGTTTGCCGCCTGATTGTCCCACTCGACTTATCTCTGTCGCGGCCGTTAGCTCGATGAGTAATGTCGGTACCTGGGCTATAGTGTAGGGTGTGGCGGGGCGGGGCGGGGGCGCCGCGGGTGCAAACTCCAGCAATATTGGGCGTTCCGTCCCACTCCGCAGCAGCAAGGGCGTTCCCTGGGTGGCCG